TTTAACAATGATTGTTATTAGTATTGTAATTATTTAAATAACTGGCCAGTTTAAAACTTTAATAAATAAATTAAACATATTTCTAATTAACATATGAACAAAAAAAAAAAAGGAAAATAATAAAAGAAGCATTCAAGATATGTGGCTATAATTAAGTTCTCTTGGTCATAGTTCATTTTTTTCAATATTATTAAAAGAAAACAAAAGTTTCCTTATTATTTTCTGAAAGGCATTCTTTAAGTAATTTTCTATTTATCGGCATATTTTGAGAGAAAATAAAGGAACATAAACTTTAAACTTATTTTAACTTTAAAGCTACATAGGTAATTACAATAATACTTTTTACCGTTAGAATAAAGTGTTATCTCTAGTAGACTCCATAATTGCTTGCTATAAGAATTTATATGGATGGAAATACTTTTAATATAAAATATAAAATGCTTTGAAACTTGACGAGTGGTAATTTGAAAACCTAATTTAACACTCTCATAGAGGAGCTCTTCAAAAAGTACTACAGTTATTGCTTTGATGTTCTATTGTTCAATACATGGACAAACATGAGAATATCTTCAAGAATACTTATAACAAATTCTATAAGGTACAGCAAATTTTATTATTTTTCAAAATTAATTTTTATAGAAGTAATTTTTTTTATTGTTAATAAAACAATAGTCTTTTGTTGTTTATAACATTAAACCGAGTACGCTCTAAATATGTGTATATTTATAATTTACAATGTACTATAAAATAAAAAATAAATGTCATATAGGTACACTTAAGAACATTTTACCAAAAATAGGCGACTATACAGTTTTATTTATGAAAATTAATTCAAGCCAGAATTATGAACCGAACTTTTCAATTAAATCTAATGATCCATATGATATTATGTATGGTAGGTATTATCTTATTTTTCTAAATTTGTAAATCAAATTATAATTTAAACAATATTAGTGATATTATACGTACATGTGAAAAACAATAATTCTGTTTTAAAATACCCGAATTAGCCAAAACCCGAATAACATTTTCTGGTTAATCCGAAACATAAATAATTTTGTTTTTTACAATTTTCGTGTGATAAATCATTTTGTATGGATATCTTGTGGTTAGTTTAATTTCGTAGTTTAAAAACTTATAGTTGCTTAACAAGTAACAACAGCAATACTATTAACAGGAAAAATTGTTCTATCAGTTATAGATAATTCCATAAATATTTTCTTGAAAATGAAATCCAATAGAATCGTTAAATGATTCTAAGTAATCCAAATAGCCTAATACGAAATTATTTCTTAAAATATTGAAATATTATAATTTATAACTATATAATAATATGAAATAAATCCAAAAATAGCCAATAGCAAAATAAAACCGCGACAAACTGAAAAATGTATCGATAGTCATCGTGACTAAATACTTATAACTTCTTAGTAATAAGTAATAACACCTAAAATAATTAATACTTAGAATTATATTTTGCGACGACCAATTTCCCAATTAGTAGTATTATTAGAATTTAGTAACGAATATCGTAATTCGTGGATATTACTGCTAATATGGCAATAATATGCAGGTATAAAATTAAACAAAGTTATAATAATCGAAATATCAGTAGTAAACCTCTTACAGTATTAGCTTGAGAACTTTTTTTTTTTTTTGATGCCTCTATGCGCGTGCACTGAAAACCGTTTCGATACTACGAAATATATGACAGTGGCCTTGACTATTGTGGGTAGAGTATCTGGGAAAATATTTTCCGAACCGGTTCCGTTGGGTTGATCCAAACATAATAATAAGTCGTCGATCAAAGTCCACGCGGTACCTTTAGTATCATAATAATATCATAGTGTACGCGTCCATATTATTAAGATGCCATTATATTATGTAGTACGAAGATTCAAACCGAGTTTAAATCTACGCACAGAATATGTTTATTACGATGTACATGGCATAGGCATACAACCACAGTGCATGGACTATTATATATATGTGTGTGTGTGTGTTTATAATATACACGTTATATATTAATATCTTCTCGTATATGGGCGAACGGCAGTGTAGGGATATAAATTCAATTTGCCGGCTCGTTTAACCCCTGAAATTCACGTCTCTCATGGCTCTGCCATTACGCTGCCAATTATTATAAAGTCACCAAATGGATTCCGCCATCAGCACTAATTACCCGCGGCGACAGTTCTGCTGAGCGACCCGCCGATTGTCTTTCTACCTCCTCCTATATATCATTATTAGGATATCGGTTTCTGTCGTTTCCCCATAGTGCTGCTGCAGCTGGCACTGTATTATATTATTGTCGAGTAGGCCAAAGAAAACGTCGTCAGACCAGCTTCGTAACCCTTTCCGCATCGAATAAACGGGTGGTATTTTTTTTTTTTTTAACCTGGAGACTTAATATTTGTAGACCGGACTTTCTGCTTCACGGACACTATTTCAAGTCGGAATACAATAAATTTCGCAAAAACATAACCACAATATTATTATTATGTAGGTGTATTGGTTTATGTTATTTATTAATCGTTTTAACTTTTTGTATACAAATACAATTGCTACGGAACGAATATTAAAAAAATTCGATTTCCGCGAACATTTAGGGTTACAATTACTTTGCAGTCGTGTTGGTTATATATTTTTTTTCAGAGGGCCGACGATAGATCTCGAGTGTCGAGTGTCTCCTGGAAAACAAAACATCACCCTGTGTACCTAGGTACGTATTATGCGAATGTTGCACACTTTTTTTAACGGCTCTTTGGGTGCGTATAAAAGCCGTACGCGATGATTCCCGGTTACAAAGTTTTCAGACTATAAAAACGGCGTTGCAAAGGCCACCATAAAACGTTTTCGAGTCGTACACGGTTTTGCAAGCATTCAGAAAAAAAAATGATATTGGTTTTTATGTACGACAACAAAACTCGTCTCATTCGTCACCGCACTCCCCTCGCCTGCATACCACTGTGCGCTCAAAGGCCACCAACCCTTTTCACACAAGGCGAGACGCCTTCGTTCCCTTTGGTTTTTATTATACGTACACTTGCATACACATATGTATAATACTTCCACGAATACATTCGGGGCACGTATGTTTACAATTCCAAGAGCGCGACACATAATATCTAAAAACTGCGGTAGCGACACATGCTATAATCGCGATCCAATGTTCGGAATTCCCTCGTTTTTGTTTATATTACTGACTTATTTTTCGGTTGATCTCTGTTTTTATTCCGCCATTATTTTAGGCACGACATCCCCCATCCCCGGAGCCCTTCAGCATTTGATCAATGATCATAATATATCTTCGAACGCGTTCGCACAATTTACCAACAAATATATAATTTATATTAGTATAATAATATTTTGTTGCTCACACACAGATACAGAAAAAATATAATTCGTTATTGTAGAGTACTGAAGTGACATAACTTGTATAATATATTATTATGATGTCCGTCGACATTTTTGGTCTTCGCAGCCCAATGATTACACGAAATAAATAATATTATGTTTTCCTAATTCGTCGATTGTCTCATTGAGTATATTAAGATAATTTGAAATAATATAAGACTCTGCCGATGGCAGTGTTGTTATTTTAAATTTTAAATTATTCCTACCTGTTACCTGTATCTTGACAGCTTCGACTTTAATTCAAGTCTTATTTTGAGAAAACATATTATTTTACATAGGTATATTTTATCAAACTTGTACCAATATTCTGTAACTAATTTACAACTTTTTGCAACCTCATAGTTACGACAGAGACAGTATTTCAAGGTGGAGAAAGCGTGGAGGATCTGGAAAAATTTGCATCATCGTAAGTTTTTTGCAAATAAAATTTTAGTTTTTAGTTGTTAATTATTTATGGTAATCACCCAACCCTGTTGCGACTTTCTCTTGCATGCATTATACTTTCCTAGAATTTTTCTTCTTAAATAATATACCATATTAGGAAAATTGAAAATATATCAAATTCTTAAGATGAAAATATCATTATTCTTTTTGGATATAAAAATGTTAAATTATAATACATTTTAATTTAAAATAATAATATTTCATATGACTACTTATCCCTTAGATTTAAAGTAAGTATAATAATTTTAAACTAATGACCTTAGATGACTATGTTGTTAGATCAATGTAAAAAATATTTAAAAATAAAACAATATGGGGACTTGTTTATTACTTGAACTTAAGTATACCATACGGTATACACCGTGCTAATCGGCATTCAGCGTAGTACATATTTTTACAATCAAAATAACAATACATTTTAAGAAATGAAACTTCTTTGCATATGATTGTATGTTGTTTATTATTTCGTTAATTTGAGAAGCAAATTATCTAGCCTTTTTAAGTTTTTTATGTGTATTTATATTAATTTATACACACTAATGAACGCTTAGTCAAATCTTATTGGGTATGCTGATATGTAATAATGGAGTTTCTGCTCTCTAAAAGTATTTATTTACTTAGGTAACTTACCAGTTACATCAACACCATAATTATTGATTGAAAGGTTAATGCTATTAATTTCATAAAATAAAGTTATATATTTAATTATTATTAACAATTGTCAATTATACATACATTCAGTTTGCAAACTGGTGGACGTTTCCGAAAACAGTAAAAAATACTAAGTTTTAAATACAAAAATATACATTAATATGAATAGACTAAATATTGTTTGTATAAAATATTAAAAAACACTTGAATACATTTCAAATTTAATTTAATATTAAATAAATTTACCATCTGAACTTAAAAACTGTTTCTTTATAATATAGTGCAATTCAATTTTGGTTTATTAAGCAAAATTGAATTAAAATATTTAGCTACAATGATTTCTTATTTTTATCGATCCTGAGTATGTTTGTGTTTCAAAGAGTACTTTTACCAGTTGAGAAACCATTTCAAATTGAGCATAGTATAGATTATAAAAAAATAGGTACATCATTTACAAATTACAATCCATACACACAAAAAATAATTGATTGAGTGAATAATAAATAACTCATTTTCGTTTAATACAATAAAAACAAAAAAAATCAAATTTCCATAGACATTTTCCAGTTTTAACTGAATGCTAGTTAAATTTCGATCGGTGGTGAACCAAACGAAATTTACCACAAAAATCATATTTTACGTATGGAAAAAGGTTAGTTATTAATGTGACTAAGCACCCAAAGATGTTCTTCAGCAAACCGTATACCTATTGCCTAATAATTATTATTGTATGGCACCATTTTTATCGATGTCTCAATATTAACGGGACATGTAGAATGGTGAAAATTGGAAAACGAAAATATACGATCTATATAATATAGTACAACTCGTATGTATACATATACTATATATATATATACGCATATCGAATGGAGCCATTACACAGCGTCGAACCTTTAAATATATTTATTTTCATCCCCTTCTCTAGCCTTTTCGCTCGGATCGAACGACCTGTTTCTGAAATGATGACAAGGCGACTTGGCTTTAACACACCGGAAGTATCATCCGTCGAGCCGCGGAAGTCATAAACACTGCGCAAGGAGGATTTTCGGCATTACATTGCCACTTTATTTATACATTTTTTTCCTTTCTCCGTGTTATTACCGGATAAATCGTTGAACTGTTTTGCGTTCAGCTTTTATGGCGTTCAAATGCGTCGAGCGTGCACTTAAATCGAACTCTATAGTAAGACGACTCCTCCGACGCGTATTCGGATAGCATAAAATCGGCACGTTAGGCAAGATGTGGTTTTATAATGTGACAGGAGAGTTATACAGTTATCCTTTTATTATTATTATTATTATCGTAATAATATATTATAATACGAGATATTTGTTTCGAATGTCAGACCTTTACACATGGTTTAAGTTTTGAAACCAAAATATAATGAAATAAGCATATATATAGGCATAACCATTAACCACGTATAAGGCGTTTACATTTTTTCACCCTCCTCCCCCACTACTGTACATTATAATTGCATACGATAGCAGTGCTTTTTGAACAACCCGCGGTGGTTAGATCTGATTATCAACAGACAATCAAATTAACATCGGACGTAATTTCGCACATACTCTGATGCTGATTAAATATATGACGTATATAGCTTATAGCTGGCAACCAGAATAGAACAACTACGGATTTTGGACGATCACTTGATTTCGTTCTACATTATGGTCCCCCGATGAGATTCGTCAATAAAGACGATATTGTGATGGGTACCTAGTGAATGTAAAAGAAAATAGGATTTTCCGCAGTGCAGGATATTGGAAAAGTCAATTAAGGAATAGTTTAGGTAACATAATAATATAATGCCATTATTGTAATAGGTAGTATTTTGTGTGGGCGGCGCACGGAGTATCGATGGCAGCTAGTAACAGTATTACCGCAAAAAGGTATCGTCACAAACACTTGGTGGTTATTGCCCGACCGCACTTGCGCCGCCGACTTGTTGTCAGTGTTACGACGACAAATCGTTGGCCATCGCGCTGGCGCGAGCCACGGACTTGAGTAAACCGTTTTGTCGGGCAGCGTACGTCCGACCGGCGACGACGGCGCCCGACCACAAAACGACCCACATCGAAGGCTTTTTGACGGCCGCGTCGAGAGCCGGCGACGCGTTGTATTTTTCCGCCGCCGTCGCCGCTCTTTCGACCTTTCCGCCGCCGACGACCAGTCCGGACGGCACCGGTTCCGTCAGCTGGTCGGCGGTCGGCGGCGGCGGCTTCGGCTGCCGCCTGCGACCGAACGACCGCCGCCGCTCCGATCCCCAACGGACGATGCCACTGACGCCACTGATCGCCGTTGTCTCCTGCCGGCGGCATCGTTTGGTTCGCGGTGGTCGTTCGGGCGGCGGTTCTGTGTCCAACCGCGTCAGTATCACGTACTGCCACTTGTCGCCTTGCAGTCGGTCCGGATCTGCCGGAAACGGTGCGCTGATAATCGGTTTCTTCCTTCTGCTCCTGAATGCAATAAAACCAAAACAGTCACGGTTAGGTGTAAGGAAAACGAAAACAGAGTAAACAATAATATTAGGGTTGACCGGTTTTCGCGATATAAGGGTTCTAATTATTCCACAATGCCGGTGGAACCTGTTGCATTTTGACTCACTGAAATTTTACAAGGGTAAATTTCCCCGTCGGAGTTAAACTGCTTAAATATTTCTGGTGAACTATCACCTCGGGGGGGGGGGGGGGGATAAGATATCACACTGAGGTAAATTTTTGAGTTACACCGGCACCTGATTTAAAAACGTCAACCCATTCGATTTTTTAATTAAAATTTAATAATATTAACATGTCCGACAAACGTTAGGTCTTAGGTGTTTGAACAGATATAAAGCACAAGGATATGGAACGGAACTGTATCTGTTGATGCGATATTAAATTGTTTGGCTATAAACAGTAGGTTAGGTAAACAAGCAGAGAATATGATGGATTTTTAATTAGTTTAAGTTATTACAGTAAAGTTCCGCTCCGGAACAAATAGTCGAAACTGTTTATAGTTATAAGTTCCGATCAGGAACAAATTATTTGTTCCGTATACTGATCTTCAACTCGTATGGTATTTCCTCAGCAGTTATCACGACCACGCTTCCCATATCTGGCAAAAATATTTTTATTTCTTTTATGCCTGCAGGTTTCATGAAAAATTGATTAATTGAAAGACTAAAACATATTGAAGTGACTATTTGCTCACTATTAATTCATTAAATGTTTAGCGATTGTTCGTGCAACCCGCGGTATTAGTATATAATATTATTATTTCATTTGAATACCCTGATCAATGTTTAGTTTAATATTGTGTTATTGTTTTACTCAAACATTAGGGTTGTCGTTAATATTTTATATTATTTAGCTTAATTTATATTATATTGGATTAATAATAGTACACGAAATAAATTTAAGAAACTGAAACATAAAACTAGGGAAGTAGCTTTGCTATAATATACCTACTACCTACATTGTATAGCCTGTATAGGTGTCAAGTGTTCCTCGTCAATGTCATTCAATTGATTAATAAATCATTGTACCTACCTATAGGAAATATGATTTTGTGCGAAGACGGTCTGTCAGCCTATGTCTCTCGAAGAATATCTATTATTATATTGCTTTTATAGTTTTATAGTAATTTCTATTTTCTATCCCATTAGTAATACGGTAGGTTTAACTAATCTTTGAAAAAACCAATCGCTAACTAACGGTTATTAACTTATAAGTCAATAGGTACTCAGCTATCATATAAATCGATATGTTATCATTTATCATCATCTTAGGCCTTGGGTTAATAAAATAACAAAATTAATTTTTTTGAAGCGTATAAATATTCCCGTTTTCAGTATTTTTTTCTTCTTAATTTTTCGCGTGTATTCAGAAAAGTACGGTTAATTTTGAATCTCCAAAGGACCAATAACTATAACCATATCGCTTCCAGAAACGACTTTCAACATTGAAGCTCAAAGCATTTTTTATCATAAAAATGGCCTTTATCAAGAAAAAAATATAAAATATACAGATCATTTTAAAACCATAAAGTAAAAAATAATACAAAAATTATAATATTATTTAATTTTGACTATTTATTTTGTTGTGTAATGTATAACTAGATAATATAATGATGTTTTGTTCATGCTAGTTTCAATGAATATCGTATTATGCGTCAAACTGACTTACCTAATTGTGTTCATAATATTTTTGCCATGCGATGATATTAATTTTTCATCTATAATACCCTTTTCACATTGAATTTATCTAAGGATATAGGATGTATTATCACATATTATTTGGTGTTGTATACACATAGCTAATGAATATAGTGTTCTAAAATCCTAATTTAAAATAATATTTATATTGTACAAACTACGTTATGTCGTCAACGGTTATCAAAACACGAACGCTAGAGCAATAATTAAATTATGGCATACATCTTCTAGCATAGGTACCAGAGTATTGAATAAAATATATTAGATTCGATCAAGTAAAATACGAATTTATTTTATTGCTCTTAAAATATATTAATACAATGTAAACAATATTATTGCAGTGCTTGAAAATATTCGTTTTCGTGTCAATTTGACATTGAGAGTCCATCTCGAATAATATATTATTATCTCTGTCCTCTGTCGTGAAATATAATATTCGAATACAATAATATGATATTTTCCTGCAAATGTCGACAGGCTAACTTAGCTACACAGAGACGCCCGTGTCCCAGAGCGTATTCGATTTCACGATGCGAATGACCGACTGGACATAAAGCATATAATAGTGATGAAGTTTATTATTGCGTCAGTAGGTATATATTATGTGATACCGCGCCGAGGTTATATATACCTTTGTCACATTTTAATACATTTTAACAGCTCTGGGAATACCTATATATTATTATTATATATAGGGTCCGCGTACGTGGTTTTACGTTTATTTTGTGTTTTTTTTCTTCTTTTAATTCCCCAATAAACAGCCCAGGCCCCGAGATACCTGCGTAAAGTTTTCCAAACGATCGTCTAATAAAACGCGCAGACGAAAGTTTCGCGGAAAGGTTCCGAGTTTATTGACTACAGCGCGTCTTATTATATGACTTAACGGTGTCACGCGTTGTTTTATGAATTTAATTTTGTCGTTCTCGCACGGCACCCATCGAATTTCGTTCTGTGGACCTATATTCGCCACCGGCTGTTCATATTATTGTGATTTATACACTCGACGATTGCTGGGTAGCCCACATCACTCTCGTGTTGCACTGTTTGCTGATCAGTATACCTACTAAGAAGAAGTATCGCACAAAATAATTCCCACCCTCAATTCGAAGGTCAGAGAAGAAGAAGAAAAAGATTTCTTGCGAGATTCGTTAGATTTCTTACACGCGTTTTGTCGTTCTCGTACGACACCCATCGCATTGCATTTTGTGAACCTATACTGCCGGCTGTCCAAATAGTGATGTATAGTCTACACACTCAACAGTTGTAGTCCATATTATTATGTCGAAGAAAATAAGACGTAATAACGAAATATCACTCTCGTATTGCACTGTTCGTTGTTTAATGAGACGTATCTCTGCACAAAATAATTCCTTGCTTATTCGTTGGATTTCGTATAGAAGACTGAGACTTCCAGTTTTCTTTCAGTTTACTCCATTGGTTTTAAAATAATTTTCATCTGTTTATTTGTATCGAACATTAACACAGTATTATGACTCTATAACAATTGTCAGTTAGTATAATGGTGTAGGTATACCTACTACGCAATTACCTAATTAAATTGTGTATATTATTAAACCGAACACGACTGTTGGCAATACAATTTGAATTTATTTTTCTATATGGTCTCCTAAACACAAACTTTTATCGCGAGACAGCATATTTATTAAGTTAACTTACATCTATCACTTAGAAAAAGAAGAAACTAAATGCATACACTATTTTAAGATTTTATAAACATTTCATGTGAATTCATTTGTCAAAATAATAAAATCATATTATTATCTCAATATTATTTTTTTATATTGACACACAAATAATAAATTCCATGAACATTTTAAATGTGTAGCTTGACGCTTCGTATAATATTGTATTTATAGTGATTTCTTGTTGAATTTTGTTTCTTCAAGAATATGGATTTTATGATTACATTTAACTCTGTACGTGTTCAATTTTAGATTCCGAGTGCCGTTCAGAATCTATTGGTGATTACAATGATGTGTACGTTATTTTTTTTTTAGTATGTTCGCCATCACGTTTTCAGATATAAGAAGTGCTCTAAAAAGTTTTGCGAACCAAATTACTCTTAAAAAAAAGTTTGATGGTACATTTGAAAACTTTTTTGACACCCTGTATTGCCCGTAACATTTTAACACATTTTTACAAGTTATAACAAAGAAATTAATATTTTTTAGATGACGTAACTATAAAAAAATAAAAATCAATGCAAATTTAACTGTTTGTGTTGTATCACACATCACACTGAATACCCTCTAAAAAAAATTAATTTCATTCTTTATTACGGTTTTAAAATTCTGAGCGAATAACGACGGACATATTATTATTACAACATTTTGTGAACAAAAACAATTTTAAAATCTTCCAATGAATATTATTTTTATACGATTTTTTGTTGATATCGTTTTTCGAATATTATATAATATGGTATTAGGATTCATTCGAGACATTCAAATTTACAAAAATGATATAATTTAACACTGTTTGCGCAAAGTGGTGAACTATAAGTCTGTAATCAGGAAAAAGTTGGGCGAATATCACAATATCTACCAATAGTTCAGTTTTAATTTTACTGAAAGTATTATTTCTGTACATAAATTGATCAAATTTCGAACGTTTTGTAAATTAGTTTCAAGTATTAAGAGATTGATGAGCAGAGGGTTGCACCCACATGTATGGTACTGGTAACATACTGAAATCAGCTCATCTGAACTTGCAAATACTCTAAACAATAACATAATTAACAAGTCGTTCGAAAATCGATTTCTATGTTTCTAAATATTTTTTTTTTAATTGAATAAAAAACATCGGTTACTGGGCCATTAATTTTTAATATACATTTAATGTAGTTTCAAATTAAAATATTATTATTCTATTTGGAAAATATGAAATTAAAAATGCAAGTCGTCATTCAATTAAGTTATATACATAAAAACCGACAGTTAACAAATATAATTTTATTCAAAAATGTTATTTTTCAATTACTTAAAATCATGTAAAAAACATATTTTTAAAAAAATTAGAGAATACGCCTAATGGATCACCTTGTAGGTAAAGTAAGGTATTTATTGTAATAATATAATTCTGGGATATTTGTTTATGTTACTATATCAAATATACTTATTCACCGGTAAACCTCAAAATACCGTCAAATTCTACAACGTAGTCAGTGCAGTCCCAGTCAGTATTTCTACAAATCTGTACAAATACCTAGGTAGTTTGCAATACAAATAAACTTATATTCCCTTATTCATCCTCGTTTACAAAAATATAATATTTGACTTACTTATTGCGTTTGGTATTTTTTTTTTCACTCTTCTTGTGTTTGTCTGAATAACGCGTCCCCTGAAAACACGTTAAATAATGAGATTATGACATTAACTACACATGAATGTGACTGATATATTTGAATACACAGTTATTTTTTCATAAAGTTAATTAGGTGTATGAAAATGTGTTTTTGGTATATTGTACTATTTAATTAACATGTTATCATAGGTATATTAATGTATTATTACTATTTAATAAATATATTTATTATGTCGACTTATATTTAGCTCATACTCGTATAAAGTATAATTATTTGTTATGTGAATAATTTATACGCAATGCATATTAATTAAAATAGGAAACTGTACAAAAGTCAAAAATATCTGAATCCGACACATCGAACACCATAAGTTATCATGATAATAATGATTTTACGTAAAACTTTATTATATAGAATTAAAATATGGTATAGTTTAGTACAATTATTTCGACAGAACATTATTATCATCTTTATTTTATACACATATGCAATATGCATAGTGTCATAATAATATATTGCATTGTTACACGAGAGCATATTATTAATATCACTTGACCTTAGATTATGCGTCATTAGAGGAATCTAAGCGGGAGATTAATTTTTTTTGGCAGATGTTCCATATTAAATAATCGCACTGAGGGGTTTACAAAAAAAAAACCGCACATTTTACTAAAATATAATATCGTACAGTATTACAATATAATATATACATACATTTATATTTTATACGCGTAACATAGGAGAAGTTTCTTTTAATGGAAATTCACATTCAGGAGTCCGCCTATAAAGATTCAAGGTTTTTCGTAACTATATTCATCACCAAAAATCGGTAATACTAATTTTTGTATTCTTGTAAAATTTCATACAAGCGTAACCAATTTAAATAATTTAACGTGGCGTAAATAATTTGTGAACACATAATAACGACAATAATAATAATATACCCATTAATTTTCAAACACATTTTTCACTCACCATTTTTTTTAAATAAAACAAAATTTATATTATTATTACGTTACAATTAAATAATATTGAAAACCTTATTTACACATTTCGACAAACTTGTGATGGAATGCACAATATTTCTTATTGATATATTATTGTTATAATTTATAATTTACGAATATCACTTGTTAATTAAATGTAAATTAAATTTACTCTTATGGCATTTATTAAATTATTAAGTTTGTATTGTGCGTTACAGTGTAGGTGTAATTTAAATTTTGAAATTTAATTCACCCCCTTTTATTGTACACCAATTTTATTAAATACTAAGTGTTTGTTACCTGTTAGAATTTTTAATTAGGACTTGTTCCGTCATACTAAAGGTTAAAACTAATAACGTTTTACTTTATTATGGCTCACACATTTCATAGTTTACCAACAAGATTAATATTATTTTTAATACAGTGAAAAAATATTAAATTTATATCCTATATTCGGAAAACTTGTAGTTACAATTTACGTTTTGGATTTACGAATTTACATTAATCGTCAACTCTAACAATTAACTGTCTGAAAAATCTGAATGACGTTAAACAATTGTACATATTTTATTAAAGGGAAAAAACACATACAAGTATAAATCGATTATTTAAATAGAAACGTTAATTAATCAATGTATTATTATTTCTCATCTATTTTCATGGTCGTAACATATTTTAAATGATAATAACTTTAAAATTATTAAAATATCATTTCTAACTGTTATTAAAGTTCTGGATATTCTATTAGGTACATGTTTGAATGTATTGTTATGCTTATAGAACAATAATAATATTCGTTGAGGACTTCACACTCATCTACACTACCTACACATTTGTTCATACATCATCCTGAGATTTTTCAAAATACCTGTAGATATCATTATTTGTATTTGCATAGAATATGTATATTTATTGATGAAAATTAAAAATTATATAATCATTTATTATGCTGAGTTGATGAGTAGCTATAAGCAAGTAAAAACGAATAGAACATTGTGCAAATATAATAAAAAATAAATCATGTATTTTAGTGATGATGTAAACGTCATAGTTCGTACCTATACATCTACAGCATTCTACACAATATGAGTAATTATTAAATAATGTAGAATCTATATTGTAGATGATAGACAATGATTGTTTGAAAATCCAAGTACATTTTGACTAATTGTAGATGAAATCAAGACTTTTTGTCAGTTTAATATTGTAAAACATCGTAGTGTACGAGAATACGGTGTACTTCCTATGTTGCATAGTTACTTTTTATTGGTAGGTACTTTACATTTTTTAAATTGATATTACGTAATTTATTGTATTCATTAAAATATGAGTATTGGAAATAATGATTTAACGTTGTCCTTATATTATATTTATATAAAATTCAACATATTATGATCAGTGATTGAACAAATCTTTACCCAAAATAAATGAACACGTTATAAATAGTTGTATATTACATATATTGAAATACGTGGATACGTAGGTATATATTATCTAATATAACTTGAATTGTGTGCTATTTATAAAATTAATAACAACCATTTTATAAGTATGTTTTAAAATCTACAAATACATGTTATTATGGATACCTATTAATTTGTCATGATAAAATCATTAATAAATCGTATTGTCTACATTGAACAGTACTTATTGGAAATTGAATATTTTGCGGCCTTTTACACGTCTTGTTCGTAACATAATGAATATTAATCTATTTTTAGCAATTTTTTTTTTTTTTTGTTTTATACACATACAAACACTCGATAATAATGTAAACCTATGAGTTTTTACCTGTTTGCCGTAATTGAAAACGATCTTCCGGTACAATCCATCAAACCCCCGACGTACAGCCCTCGGTCTTTCGTCTCTATTACCACGCCTGCACAGACCGCTGCCCATTTCGAACGGAGAACTGGACGAGAAGTTAACAACCGCTGTCCCGAACCGCACGCTGATACCGTCGGAGAGTGAGTATTACAAATTATGGTGTTCTCGAGAATATAATATTTAATATTACGATAAATAGACTGTAATACAACAATATTATTATTATTATTATTATTATTATTATTACATATTATTATCACATTATCAATGTGCAAGAGTGCGGCGGACTTCCGAGACGACGTGCGCACGGAGAGAACAACAAATAAACAACAACCACAACATTTACCGACAACCGAACGGGCGGATAATGAGGCGGTCGCATGGTTTGATAATATAATATTATTATATTATGTTAGATATGTATATATGTATGTAATATGTACACGTTCTCCGTCTCCCACCTTTCGGTCTCCGCCGTCACCGCAACCGCGGTCTATCTAGCGTCGTGCGTGGTATATACCAGCCGGGTATTATACGGGTTGCTGTATTTTTATTTATTGACTAACAAAACGTATAATAATATTGTCTTTTCGTTTTATTTTTATTCGCCCGCGTACCCCTCTCGCACGTTGTAGGCACACGCCGACCGCATTATATAATATTATGTCTTTACATCATGAGCTGGCCGAGGCGCACAGTCGCACAATGAATAAACATGCGATGACCGACTAACGCGGACGTGATTCGGACCACGATTTCGGTAACACTACCCCCTCCCCACCACTCTTCGACCGCCCTTAATTATATATATTATATTATATACTGTATGTTTGTGCGGGTGCTGAACGCGATGTTCTCCTCAAATGTCCATCCGAATTTAAACGAATTACGGTGTGTGTGTGTCCCCCCCCCCCGCCTCGCGCCGCTCTAACCCCAGCACGACGCGCGTTGTAAATTGGAATGTGTGTATACATGTTTGCTAGGGTATAAAATCGATGTCCCCGCGACTATGTACGTACATATATTTTGTATTGAATTCAAGAGTTTCCGTCAACAATTGCGCGCGAATAAATCAATTTAAAGGATTCAATTGAAAGGAAAAACTCTGCGCTCCGCGTGGTGTTCCTTTTTTCCGATCACAGATGAAATTACTGCGAGTTTTTCCGCTCAATATACTATACATATATACATAATACATTTGCATGTGTATATACATAAGGTTATACATGTATACATTTATTATATGGTACACGCCATAAGGGTATACATATTATATATTATAATTAGGGCTAGGATTTTGTAGCATTTGCATTTTCTTTCATAGTACTCCAGGACATAGCTAATCAAAAATAAAATTCGATTCATTCATCACATTGTTCAAATATGCAATTTTGTTTTTGCTTTTTTTGCTTTTTCTTGTGATATTCGTAAATAAATGCTTTATTGGTACTTTTTTGTCAGTTTATTAGCTTTTTAATTGGTTTTTGTTAATTATACGCATATTTAACATTTACGTACATATTTATCTAAATTATTATTTTTTCATTTATTTTAATTATATATATTTTGTGAATTCGTAGTGAAATATTATCGCCTTATCGGAAAATATTTCTGAAAATAGATTCTTAGATTTTGTGATTACTGTTTACCGAGTGGGGAGTAGTGGTCACGTAATACGATGTCTGTAATATCGTCGTAATATTATGTCTGGACTTCAGACGCAATGAGAACGATATTAATTGACTTGTTTACTATGTCTAAATTTACAATAATATTATTTAGCATTTCCTAAATATAGGAATTTCTATTTATATTCGAGTGCTAGCGTACGGAGTATTGTCGCGACTCGCGGAACCACGATATCAGTAATCGACAATACGTTATGCCGACAAGTCGTTAATCGTTTTCTCCTGTAATTACGTATTCGCGTGTGCTGTTATTTTTTGATATTAAAAATATTTTTCAGCTAAACTTCAAAATTAATTTTTAAATCTTTTTTAGTTGCATTTTCCTGGTTAAATGCTTTTTTTTGTAGCATTATTGGCAATTTTTTAATTCCTTTATTGTAGGTTTTTAGTGCTTCATTTTCCTAGCCCTAATTATAATATAATATATAATAATAATAATATTATATTATAATTGTTGTCGTTAATAATTTTAATGTCCCTCGAAATGACAAAATACATCATCATAAATATGTACCTATCTATTACACGTCTTGTATTCGAATACCGTCATTATTCGTGAACAATACAAAACTCGAGAATCGTGTAAAGATGACGATAGCTGTCGTTATCCGTTGTCAGACAAATTAAGTCGTTTAAAATTGCAACCAATAGTTTTTAACGATTTCCACTATAAACCGCAGGATGTCTTAGGCTCGGGCCACACGATGCGTTTCTGCCGCATGCGTCAAAATAAATAGCGGTGACGCCGCAATAACATATCGGGCCACACTATGCGTTGCATTGCGTTGTGACCGGATGCGTTAGGTGTATTTTTAAAATTTTAAAATATATTTAAGTCTAAACTTGGGAACTCAAAATTAATTTAGAATGAAAAATTAATTTAGTTTCAATCTAGACCTTGTACCGCAAGGTCGATAGTCGATACGATGTCCGATAAAACATTATTAAAAGTGTTGTGTGCAGCAGAAGCTGCTGGAGAATTGGATGAACCTACTCCTTCAAAACGAAGATATTGGGTTCATCCCTTAAATTCTGATAGAGAAAAAAATAAAAACTTTTCAGAATTTTACGGAAATATACGTAAACACCCCGAAAAATTTTTCGAGTATTATCGAATGTCGGTTAAATCATTCGATGAACTCTTAGCTAAGCTTCGTCAACATTTAACTAAAGAAATAACCAATATGCGTAATCCTTTAAGTCCGGAGGTTAGACTGACAGTGACTATAAGGTAAGTCAAGAAAATATATTTTTTACCTTAAATTGTTTGAAATTATAAAAAGTTAAAGTTATTGTATTAATAATATTAAAGTATCTCTAAAAAAAAAGAACTTAAAATAAAATTATTTTATATATTTTTTTACTAATTTCTAAGTACAAAAAAAATGTAGCAACTGTTTAAAAAACAAAAAAACTATAAATTGTAAAATTTATATAAAATATAAATAATCGTACAAATATAGTGAATAACAAAAAAAAACTGTTTAACTTTTATAAACTTCTTAAAATAAATTAAAATAAAATAAAATGATTAACACCTTTTGAAAATACCTTTATAAAATATTTTAAAGTTGTTGGTTACCATCATGAGTATTATGTAGAGGAAATTGTTGTACAGGCTTTGGTTGATGAGGTGGAATGTTTTCAGAATAAGGCAGTTGAGAATATTGATTTGCAGGAATTGGTTCAGAATATATGTTATGGTGAGTATCTATTGAACTTAGTGAGGGAGATGCTTGTTGATGTTGGTATGAGATTGGAGAAGAATTGAACGAATTTAAATAGCCGGGATGAAAATATGGAGCATTATTCTGTTGATGAATTACTGAAGTTGGATAAGAATAGTTAATATTTTGTGGACGAGATTCATTCTGAAAAAAATTTAGCACGTACATTTTGAATTCCAATTTTTTGCCATCACTCAATTTCTTTACTTCTGGAAGTAAAGATTTTAAAAAATGTTCATCTGCGTCAGTGGTTTCTACTTTTTCCAAGTGGTTTAATAATTTGCTTTGGAAAATAGTCATTTTTGGATTTTTTTTATTTATTTTCGAAGTACTCGGTGGGGTGTCCTGTGCGCTTAAGATGGACGTATCTAGTTGCTGTGATGGGTCCAATAATGTTTTATTATGATCTTCAACTGGATCATCCGTATCCGAAACTTGTTGATCATCTTGTGTGTCATTAATAAAATTCCCCGATGTACTATTCAAATAAATAAAAATTGTAAATATTTAGTTGGGCAATTATAAAAATAAAATAGTACAGTAAAAAATAAAATTATAATTTTATATAATTATATCAACAACTAACCATATGGCAACATAGGTAGACCTATTTTTAGAAGCTAATTTTTCATTGGGAATTTGACCAATAAAAAAATTTAAAAAAATAAATAAAAAAATTTCGGCGCTAGTGAATGACCGTAGATACATGAAATTTTCACTGGATGTTTATATGAGCATTGTCTATACAAGTTAAAATTTTCAAAATATTTTCATTTGTTTTGAGCTGTTTGTAGACATAAGCAATTTTCGATTTTTTTTAGTATTTGTTTCTATAAATGTCAATTAAAATTTATTTGTTGGATAAAAATGCTTGAAAATTTAATACAAAGCTCCTATCATATTGTTACAACGACATTTAAAAAATATCAAAAATCCTTAGTCTCGGTTTTTTTTTATAAGCATTTAAAGTTCAAATTTAGACGAAATTTATCAAATTGATTATTTACAGATTATTTAGTAGTTAAAAATTTATAAAATGTTAAATTTTTATAGCTAAGGATTACAAATTTAAAACAAGGTTCCACGAAAATAGGTTATATATAAATCACAATAATATCATCAAATATACTTTGTTATTGAAAATTTCCAGTACCAACGCTTAATAGTTTTCAAATAATAACATAATAAAAAATTCATTGTACCTACGTGTAGTCTAACGTCAAAGACTCGTACAAATGTAGGAAAACTTAAGGAAACTTTTATTTACAAATTTCTAATCTTAGATATAGGTACATAGAAAAGTTTTTATGAATTATAATAAAGTTGAACGTTTTATAAATTTTAACAACTGAATAATTTGTACATTTTTAATTTAATATATTTTGTCAACATTTGAACTTTAAACGGTTATAAAAAAAATGTGCCTATGTATTTTGAATAATATTTTCAAATGCTATTATATCAACTTATGAAAAACCTTGTACAAAATGTTCAACCAACAAATACAATTTTATTGACATTTATAGAATAAAAAACTAAAAAAAATGAAAATTGAAAATGTCCATAAATAACTTCAAAAGAGTAGAAATATTTTGAAAATTGGCCAGAAAAGATGCTGTTGAATGTAAAGCATTTTTACTGTCCCAAAAAGCAAAAGGCGACACACATAAAAAAACACATTATTGTAAAATTAATAAATTCATCAAAATCAAAAACTTAAATCTGATATACATTTTTTTTGTACAATTCTAAATTTTTAAGTCTGGTTTTACGTAACATTATAAATTATAATAATGTTAAATTTACCTTCTTCTATCTAAATTTGGTTTCAAAAACGATAACATATCAGCGAAGTGGTATTTTTTCCTTTTTGTTGTACCAGAACCACTCTTAATATTTTTCTCCTGATTTATATATTTCATAAAATTATCACGTACGTGCCTCCATTTTTTTTCCTTTAAATCCTTTGCTAAAATAAAAAAATTAATTCGCTCATCATACTAATAAATTTTAAAATGTATTATTAGATATTTGTCAACTGGAACTTGTTTTAAAGCTATGCAATTTGATTTTAATATTGGGAAGAGTACAGTAGCACAAATTGTCAAAGATACTTGTCAAATTTGTTGGAAAGTATTACAACCGACAGAAATGTCTCCACCGACTATGGAACAATGGCTTGATATATCAGAACATTTTTATAAAAGTACGAACTTTCCTAATTGTCTCGGGAGTATCGATGGGAAACACATAAGGTGTAAGAATCCACAAAACTCAGGTTCATATTTTTTCAATTATAAGAAGTATTATTCTATTATTCTGATGGCTGTAGTAGATTCAAATTTAAGTTTTGTATGTATTGATGTTGGGGCATTCGGACGAGAATCTGACTCAAATGTATTTAAGCAATGTCCATTTGGAAAAAAATTGTATGCTAATCAGCTTAATATTCCTGAACCTAAGTGCTTACCAAATACCGATGACTCTCCTCAACCTTACGTTTTTGTTGCTGATGAAGCTTTTGGACTGCACAAAAATTTACTGAGACCATATCCAGGGCGTGGGCTTACAAATACTCGTCGTATATTCAATTATAGGCTTTCAAGAGCAAGAAGGACAGTTGAATGTGCATTTGGCGTACTTTCAAATAAGTGGAGAGTGTTACATACGCCTTTATTGGTTGAACCAGATTTTGCAGACGACATCATAAAAGCTTGTTGTATATTACACAACTTTGTCCGCAAAAGAGATGGTTATAATTTCGAGGACATGGATACAAGCTATTTGGTAGATGGTTTGCCTAATAGTGGACCGGGAGTACGATCTCAAGGAATTGAGGTTAGAGATTTTTACGCAGAGTATTTCATGGGACCAGGATCCGTACTATTCCAGTATAACAAAATTTAAAAACACAACATCTACGAGTAGATATTTTAATACTTATTAAAATCAATAATTTCCAATGTTTTAATTAATTTTTACTTATTTAGGTATGTATTTTGGAATATTAACATTATAAAATATGTATAACGTATATTGTATCATGTATGTACCTATTATGATTTCAATTATTATTAAATTTTATTTTATGAACTGTTTTTTATAATATTCGTTTTTATTCCCATTAATTAAAAATATGTTACCTTTTTCTTCCTTTTGAGCCGCTGAAAGTTCTTCCCAATTTGGGTATAAAGCGGCAGCCACAGAATTCCATGCCAACATTTTCATTGGCTTGTCGTGATAATCTTTTGAGCCAATATCCCATAAACATGGTCTTGACTCGACTTCAATTATTAATTTTTCAAAATCAAACATTTTTTTACGTTTTTAATTTTTTTTAAATTCAAAATTCACAAATTATAATTTTTCGCCGCGTGCGTTATTACCGCGTCGTGTGGTCGATATAATTAAAATACATGTGTTTTGTATTGATAACTGCGTGCGTTGTTGCCGCACCACCGCAGCATGTTGCGGTGAAAACCCGCCGCATACG